GAGAGAGAGAGAAGAGAGAGAGAGAGTGAGGGATGGGGGGAAGAGAGAGAGAGAGAGAGTGGGGGGGGGAGAAAGAGAGAGAGAGAGAGAGAGAGAGAGAGAGAGAGAGAGAGAGAGAGAGAGAGAGAGAGAGAGAGAGAGAGAGAGTTAGAGAGAGAGAGAGAGAGAGAGAGAGAGAGAGAGAGAGAGAGAGAGAGAGAGAGAGAGAGAGAGTTAGAGAAAGAGAGAGAGAGAGAGAGAACAGACGGACTGAGAATCAGGAACAGAGAACTAAGCGGAAAGATTGAAAGAACCAAAAGAAAAAGAGATAAACATGCAGACAGACAGGTAGATACAGAGAATATGAGAGACAACAACAAACAAAGAGAAAGTGAAGATGGTAGATGGAAAGAGAGAAACAAACGCACGGTAACAAACGGAAAAGAATATGACGTAAATGTTTCTGAGTCACCTTTGTGCGCAGTGACATATCGAGAGGGGAGGGGAAGGGGAGGGGAAGAGGAGGGAAGGAGAAGAGGAGAGGAGGGGAAGGGGGGAGCCAGAAGGTGAGAGGGGGAGGGGAAGCGAAGGAGAGGGTGAGGGGAGACGGGGAGAGGAGAGGGTGAGGGGAGACAGGGAAGCGTAGGAGGAGGAGGAACGAAGTAGAGGAAAATCCCCGAGGTGGCACTGACGTTTTACAGCTCCTGGCACTCGGTTTCTCTGTATTATCCTATCTTGTTGGACTCCCCAATCTCCCTCTCTTTCTTGCTTTTTGTATGTTCCTTTTCATCTGTCTCCCTCCATCTGAATATCCGTCTACTTCTTTCTATCAGTTTCTTTCTTTTACTCTCTCTCTCGTTTTATCCCTCTCTCTTCTTCCGCCTCTCCATTCTCTCTCTCTCTCTCTCTCTCTCTCTCTCTCTCTCTCTCTCTCTCTCTCTCTCTCTCTCTCTCTCTCTCTCTCTCTCTCTCTCTCTCTCTGAATCTATGAATCTCTCTCTCCCTCTGAATCTGTGAATCTCTCTCTCTCTGAATCTGTGAATCTCTCTCTCTCTCTGAATCTATGAATCTCTCTCTCTCTGAATCTGTGAATCTCTCTCTCTCTCTGAATCTATGAATTTCTCTCTCTCCCTCCCTCTCTCTTTTCCTCTCTCTCTCTCTCTTTCTCTCTCTCTCTCTCTGAATCTATGAATTTCTCTCTCTCCCTCTCTCTCTCTTTCTCTCTCTCTCTCTTTGAATCTATGAATTTCTCTCGCTCCCTCTCTCTCTCTCTCTCTCTCTCTCTCTCTCTATCTATCTCTCTCTCTTTCTCTCTCTCGCTCTCGCTCAATCTCTCTCTCTCTCTCTCTCTCTCTCTGAATTTATGAATTTCTCTCTCTCTCTCTCTCTCTCTCTCTCGCTCTCGCTCAATCTCTCTCTCTCTCTCTCTCTCTGAATTTATGAATTTCTCTCTCTCTCTCTCTCTCTCTCTTTCTTTCTCTCTCTCTCTTTCTTTCTCTCTCTCGCTCTCGCTCAATCTCTCTCTCTCTCTCTCTCTCTCTCTCTCTCTCTCTCTCTCTCTCTCTCTCTCTCTCTCTCTCTCTCTCTCTCTCTCTCTTCCTGAATATCTCTCTCTCTCTCTCTCTCTCTCTCTCTCTCTCTCTCTCTCTCTCTCTCTCTCTCTCTCTGTCTGTCTCTGTCTCTCTCTCTCTCTCTCTTTCTCTCTCTCTCTCTCTCTTTATTTTATTTGTAATATTGTTCACTACACTGTTACTGTCAATTGCCCTGCTTATCAACCTCGTTACTGTCATCAACATCGTAATATCGTTTATTATTATCAACTGTGTAGGACAAAATACAAGTAAAGCAAGAGAAGAAGAACACGAGAGAACAGGAGCAAGAACATATTCATGTGTTTTCTTGTTCTTCCTTCCTTTGTTTTACATATGTTATCATCAGTGAGTTTTCATTCTCATGCTCATTAATGCTTAACGTCGTTGTGTCGTATACACTCGAAGGCTCAATCATCATCACGCGGACAACACGAGGGCGAAGCGAATGCTACATGAACGAGTGAAACAAACAAGCTGGGATGAGACGCCCAAATTAGAATAACATCGCGAGGATTCGAAGTGGATTCCATACAAAAAACACGGTTAAGAGGACAAGATACGGATGCAAAAAAACAGAAGCGCCCCATTACTCAAAGTGGCGAGATCATCATGTGATAGAGGGTGATACCACGTGATGAACCAACAGAAGGAAAAAAGAAATCACGAGTGCGAAACAACAAGAAAGATCATAGTGAATCAGTTTGGGAACAAGAAATGAACTCGGGTGGCAAGTAGAAAATGTTAGAAGTGATAAATAGTGTTAAAAATGTGCAGGGATACAGAAAAGTCCTGATTCGGGTATCTTTCCAATTTTAAGAATTAATTAAGTACGAACCAACAAGGGCGTGACCGGATGAGCTCCATATCGAAAATAATAGGACGCTTTGTGTCGGAGAATGTGGATTAGGTTTCGGAGTAGCGTCCAGTAG